TTTTTAACGGTGTCGCTCAATTTAAGGCCAATTATTTTTGGCCACTTCTAGGCATAGAGCTAGAGGTACTTAAGTGAGTATAATGTAGTTACGTCAGGAGATGGCGGTGGACCTTTGTTTTGAAGCTTTGTAGACTGTAATCGGACGGAAAGCAGCTGTTTGGAAGAGAGTTCCATAATTTTGTAGTGCGGGGAAAGAAGCTGTTGTTGTAAAATGGCTTGGAGACAGGTATGTTGACGATGTATTGATGAGAGCAGGAAGAGAACCTAGTGGCACGCTGAAAGGTTCTGAGCGGTGGAACAAGAAGTGCAAGTTCTCCTGAACATCGACCGTGAAAGTATCTGTAGAAGAGGGATAGCGATGCGACATTGCGTCTGTGTGAGAGGGAATCCAGCTTTGCGGCCAGAGAATAAGCATTCTACCCTATGATGAAAGGACAACATAGACTGCTCCATCAAGTTCATGCCATCATATTTCCAGCCACTGACATCACTGTTGTACTGTACAATACAGCAACAAAATCATTGCATACAATTCATGTAAGAGTGTTGTGCAACATTTAGATTACTAGTACATCAAATACAGAGTGGATTAATGCTCCTCAATCCATTTACCCTCAATTTACTCTTATAAAATAAAGGAAGTGTCTCTACATTGAACTAATCTACATTCATACTATATACATATACATACATATACATTCTAGCACCAATTTATTACATATTATATCAAGAGCAAGTGCACATGGTTAGGGTTGCTAAAAGCAAACTCAGTGGTTTCCATTTGTTTTTGGATAACATTATATACTGTATCAGTGTATGTACCCGGTTACCATAAGCTGTTGATAACTTAATACATTTATGTATTCAACTCTTTTGGTTGCTCCAAGAAATGATTCATTGGACCTTGACACATACAGCATGAAGCAAAGACAGCTATTAAAGCAGTCCCCACCGTGGTGCAAGGTTCTGTAGATGTTGGAAGGACTTACAAAGGCCCTGCATAGCTACTCTCCAAGCAGAGGTATGGGTTTTGGGGGTATTTTTAGCATGTTTTTAGGCTTTTTTATCGGGGTTTCTCTTTTGCACTGAATTTTTTTTTTGTTGGGTTTGGTGGAAAAAAAATTCAGTGCAAAGAGAAACCCGATAAAAAGCCTAAAACACGCTAAAATATCCCAAACCCATACCTCTGCTTGGAGAGTACTGTATACCGAGTCTGTGGTGAATGAGAAGAATCGAATGAAAATGTTCAACGGTTCCGATGCATGATTTTTTTTTACCTAAATAAAAATATCATCACACAAATTATGCTCAAAGACATAACATCATACGGTAGTTATGAACTCTCAACACAACAAACTGCACAGTGAACAACATCTATATTCCAGCATTTCCAAGTTGAAAGCCTTAGCTTGTATCGTTCTTCGAACATCGCTCGCGGACGAAGGTAGGTACGGAAGGTATCGCCCCCTTCCCCTCACTACACAACGAAGCCCAACAAAATTTGTGTATCTAAATACAACAACTACATACACATATCATCATAATCCCAACCGAAACCCAGTAGTACGTGGGGACACAGTGGTAGAGGTTGTAAAATATGCCCCGTGACAGTGGGATAGAGTTTTTGTAGCTTCCGACACCAAAATGGTCCAAATAAATATATGTGACGTTCGTTCTTTTACGCTATTTATTTTGATTATTGTGCCGATTAAAATCGCTAAGCTACAACAATTACACTATGACCAAAGTCTACACAAACCTGGTGTCTTCTGGGGATAAGTAGATGGCCCGTAAACGCGTTCCTGGCGATCAAAACAACAGTAGAAGAACGCGACGATGTAGCGGTGGCCATTTTGAATGCGTATTTTGAGCTCCCGGCACGACCGCTCGGGGCGGCCGCTAGCAGCTCAAATGAGCCCGCTGCGCTTCTAACCGAGAAAATTACCCGTCATGCTTAGCGACCCTTCACCACCACCTGGCCGTTACCCTACTGAGCGCGACTGATGCTTCGCCTCTAAAATAGATCTTTTAGACTATGCGAGCTTGTGATGCAAAACTAGAAAATGATAAGAGTGTGTAAAACCAAGGTAAAACCTGTGGTAAAACTTACAAGTGTTGTCCCATAGAATCACAAGAGTAGTGTACATCTGATGTTTATCATGTATGCAATGTACAATCTTTATTCAATATAGTCAGGTAAGGAAGGTTGAATCAGGTAATGAATGTTAATTTGTTCTTGCTGCGAAATCATTTAACGCGTTCGGTAGCGTTCCTGCTTTGGAACACACGACTGCCTGCAACGGCGCCGGATTGTGAATAAAATTTAATATGTCCTTGTCTTGCAATATACTGTGCATGTTTCAGAATGCATGTTTTATTTTTCAAGTCATGCAATTTTTTTCAGACGAGTAAAATTGTATGCACGTTTTATTTTCAATCGATTTAATTTAATTTTAAATTTCAACCCTGTATGACTAGCCGTAAACACCGACGTCAAAGAAAATAAACGAAAGGATCAATATTTGTGGAGCCTGGCGGTGTTTCCAAACGTAATCCAGGCAAAAATCCTTGCATTACATCCATAGAGAATACAGGTCGTTTTGCTACATTGTCAGTTTGCTACAGTACGTTTCGCTCCATCGTGGTAAGGCGTTTCGCTACATGGCAGAAGTGTGGCTACCCTGGCCCGATGAGATCAGTGTCGTAGTCCGCTGGCATTTGTATTTCACGCAAATTGTATTTCACGCTAACTCAAGGAGCTTAAATCACCATTACCTTCCAGGCTGAAAATGTCATGATTTCATTCTTTAACATTTTATAAATATGTACGCGTATGTAGGAATACGATAATCATTTCTAATGTTATTAGACTATCTAGAGACTTCTGCCATGTATCGAAATGCCTGTAGCGAACTAACAATAGCAAAACAACCGGTTACCTCCATAGACCTATTCACCTTTGTCAGCCACAAAAAATACATGACACAAGCACGATACAATGCCTCCTACCATATTATTAAATACTTCTCGTCGCTGGTGTGTTTTTTAAACACCACCCTTGTTGGAAGTGTCCTCCATTACCCTGGCCGTTGATCAGCAATGATGTTCCCGCTAAGAAACGTCTTGAGGGCCCTTGGGCCTTACAAGTCATATGGTTCTAAGGCCTTCTACCCTCTTCATCTGTGGCCATCTGTGGCGTTTGGCCAATGGTCCTAGTGTACGTCACCGATGGTAAGGTCAATCTCATACCCAGCGCACTGTGGGATCATTCCCATGTGTTGCCTTGCTCTTGCGTATCGCTCTGGGAACAAGTCTAGTGGATTGTTCGATTGTATAGAAGGGGGTAGAGCAAGAAAGACCTAGAGCGCCGCGACAACCCGGAACTTGCTAGGCCTCGAGTTCCCATTTGCGGCTTGGATTACGCTCTACGCACAATTAATCGATTACGCTTTACGGTTAATTCCCGATAGCTACAACGCATTACGTAGAATAAAAACGGCGAATTACGCTCTACGCCAAATGCGCCAATTACGCTCTACGTTGAATTAGAGGGTCCGTCTACGCTCTACGTAGAATTAAAACGGCCGATTACGCTCTACGGAAAAGGGCTTGGGGGCCCCCTTCAATGCTACCTTACCTTTAAGTTAGTACATGTAAGCTATAGTGACTAGATAAGGTAGAATAAAATTTATACAAGAAGTGGGTAAATTCGTCTTCCATTGCCTTCAAACACGAACGGTCAAGCCCAACGAAACAGTACCGGCATTTATGTAGGTTGTGCATGTAAACGTTAGAGTGTAGCATAACGTTGGACGTAGTCCCTTACACATGTACATGTTTTGCACCACTGCATTCGTTTTCAATTGCATTTTGTTTGTACTGTGCAATTTAATATCCCTCGGGCATGCATTTGATATGATAAACTCCTACTTTGTCAATTGTATCGCCCCCCCCCCCCCCACTTCATGAATACATAGAAGCCTGAGGCTGACTATTAAATTGTTAAACCCCCCTCCCCACCAAACCGCACACGTATACAGACACCAGTACATACTCGGCTTGAGCTCGGCCCACTGCTCCCCTTCAACCCGCACGTCTTCGTACTCTATCCCGCCGGCGGCGAACAGCAGCCGCGCCAACTCAGCCCGGCCCTTCCCCTTGAAATACGTCAGCTTGTAGCTCGGCATTTTGCTCGGTTCGTTCACGAAAAAGCCCTTAATTCTAACTCGGCACGACTTGGCTTTAGAGCACCTATGTTAGTTGGGCTTTTGTTCCCTTGGCGGGTATAGGGTTACAGGTTTGACCCGGTGTCACAATGACCAGGCAGAATAGAGGTCAAACGGCCGTAGGCAAAAATTCAGAGGTCAAAGTTCAAGGTCCGTAGGGACGAGGTCGTACTTGGTATCTGCCTACAGGTTCCGGGTCGGAGTCTAAGTAAGTGCGCAGTAAATCGCCGGAAACGTGACTTTGTATCGTATGTTTTGGCCGCAAAATCCCCGATATCGTAATATCTGTGTACATACCTTTGTATTTTCTGAAAAGCCTGTTAGTTGTAGCCTTTATAGGACCCCTTATAGGTGGCGTAATGTTGTTTGTCCAGCGAAGACTTCCTGGTATTAGTCCGCGCGGATGGTTATGTGGCCTTTTCGTCTGAACGCCGGGATGGTACGTTCTATATGCGTTGTGGGTGTGTTCGGGCCATCGAAGATAGCGGTCAACTTATCGCATCGATTTTGATTACATTTTGGAAACATTAGGTCCTGAGCTTCTTTGAGTACTAAGCCGTTACCCTGGGAACATTTTTTCCATGCAGCCATGGTTAAAAATGACGAAAAAAATTACCCCTTACTTAAGAATGTATTTGATGTGCGTTATTTACCCCTAAATAAATTGGGCGCACAAAATATCAATCAAGTGTATTGATAAGCGACACAGCACCCCTTTCCACCAAGAGAGTGAAAAATTCCGACCCGCGTTTAGTACAGAAATGACAGCCCGTCGGGCTGAGGGTGTCAAATTGCTCCGAACACGGAAGGAAACTCCGGTCCGAGACCTACGGTGGCTCAACCTAGAGTTTTCAGTGTGCCACTACAATTTTATACTAACTTAATATAGTTAAGGACATACAGAAGACGTTTGGGCACATGGAAATTTGTTGATTTTTTGGCGTTCCTTCCATCATGCTACTAGTATTTCCTGCATGTTCAATGTTGTTTACGGTTTCTATTTTACGTATCCAGCTTCTATGTTTACATAAGGAAACATTGTTTTTTCTCTATTTCTTCTTCTTCCATTCCAAACACTGATCTCTGACCTGAACCAGACTGTCTCTCACCATGGTAACTGGTGTTGGGTTACATCATGTTGCAATTTTGAAGTAGGAAGGGTTTAGATCTATATGTGGACGTGTTTGGGTAAGAATAGGTAGAGCATATGCGAAGGTAAACATTAAGCATTTGCCTTGCAAATGTTACCTTTCTAGTTTGTACATACATGTGCTATAGTAGTCACCTACAGAACAAAATTGTGTGCCTTCCTTAACTATTATAGTTGAAGTATGATACAATAAGTAATAGACAAAAAACAGTATACGTACAATTATCATGGTCAGAAACCATTCTCTTTTTATGATGCTTTATCCTACAGACAATCCATAAACAATAGGGGGTATAAAGTACCATACAAGACAATCCTCCCTTGCGAGTTTGCTGCAGGTAAGGTTGTAGCGAACAAAAAAGTATAAAGTAGTTGACTTTAGTAGCTAGTGATTATGACATACATTGCATTGTATACGGGTAGTGTCTATTTAACCGATAAATATCCATGAGTTGCGAGAAAGAATAAGAGCTATGAATTTATACCCTACAAATGTTTTGTCAGCATCCCAAGACGGAAGCCCTTTTGTACAATTCTAGAAATCACGTAACGCAGCAACATCTATTCTACTACAGACTATAGAGTAGTAATATGACGGCCGGCCGTCATATTACTACTCTATAGTCATAGCGCGAAAGCACTGGTTTTTGTCGATGACACTAAGGTTTTAAAATGTGGTCTGAGGCCTCTCTTCCAGCCATTTTGCGATGCCCGGATTGGTCTTGACGTTGGCAACGACCTTGATCAGTAATTAGCGCTCAACAATCTGCGTGCCAGAAAGAGTCGATCAGATACAATCTCGCATCAAAGTATCTGCTTGGAGTTCTGTGATGACCGCATAGGTGTGAGATTTTAAAACTGCGTGACCGGCCTCTCCTTCAGCCATTTGGCGATGCCCGGATTGGCTGAGACGTTCCCCATGACTTTGTTCAGGTTGACGTAACCTTGGAGATGGTCCCCCTGCATAAATGTTGAAATGAAGCCGACGAAGGCGAAGAAATTGATGTCAGCCCAGGTCAACTGTAGGGGGGAGGGAGGGGTTAGAGGGGGGGGATTCAAAAACAAAAGTTAAAAAGGACTTCAGGTTGTGTGTGAAACTGCAGGTAGACTTGTTTTTATATCACTTGTTTTTTTATTATTTTTCTTATTAATTAATTTTTTCACTTGTAGACTTATAATGCTCCAGGTGCATATACCCTACCCAACTTAGTGTTTTTTTCGTGATGGGAAATCATTTATCATTCCACTTGTATCACAACAAGAATAATAAAGAAAGAACACAATATAGTGTGAGCAACGACCAATAAACAGGCAAAAACATAAAGTCTCGTATGAATAAGGTCACGTGTCTGTAAAAGCAACTCTCGCGAGATTACGTTGTGAAGTAATATAGTATATCCTGATGAAGGCGACAGTGGTCATTGAAAATTTGATCTTGTGTAATCCTCGTGTTAGAATAAAGTTCAACATTTTTATGAAAACATACCGAGTTCCCCACGAAATAGCCCTCCGCGCTCGCCAGCTTTTCAAACAGGTCAAAGAACGACGGCAGGGTTTTCTCTGTCATTTCCTTCTTCATTTCTTCCTGCAGGAAAAAACGAGATTCGAATTTCCACTGCACGATATGAAAGACGCTGTTCAGACGAAAGCGCTGAAAGTACATTGGATCCAGATTCCACCGAAGCAGGATTCATCTGACCCCATCTGAAAGTCTTGTTCACACGGAAACGCCTGAACCACGATTTGGGTAAATCACATTCCTCACATCTGGTACACTTGCCACACGTTCCTTTCAAACCGTGTCCAAGCACGATTTTCCTTAACTGCATTCATTGTTGTTTGATGAAAACACTCAAGGTAGCGTGTTACGGTGTTATCAATGTCAGAAGTCAACGACCTTCTTGCTGGTGCCCTCCTCCAAGCGTATATTCGAAGCAATTTAGTAACTCACAAGTTTTATTGTTGATTTTAGTCATAATTAGTTAAATGACCTCTGGCCTCTGGTACACTTGCCACACGTTCCTTTCAAACCGTGTCCAAGCACGATTTTCCTTAACTGCATTCATTGTTGGTTGATGAAAACACTCAAGGTAGCGTGTTACGGTGTTATCAATGTCAGAAGTCAACGACCTTCTTGCTGGTGCCCTCCTCCAAGCGTATATTCGAAGCAATTTAGTAACTCACAAGTTTTATTGTTGATTTTAGTCATAATTAGTTAAATGACCTCTGGCCTCAGCCTCAACCTCAATTATTTTAATGTGTAATTGCAATGATTGTATGTATTTAGTGCTTGTATTTTATGTGTTGTACTGTTGTATTTTATGTGTTGTACTGTTAACGAGCCCTGGAAGATTAGCCCCTCATGGGGCTAAAGGGCATCTCAATAAATCAAAAATCAAAATCTGGGCCGAATGCCGACGTGGTCTCGTCAGAGGCGGTGACACTGGTCCTAGGGCACATGCTCTTTACATTTCTGCCACGTAAATTTTGGTATTGCTAATAAATAATCAATGATCGAGTCAATATGTAAAGTAATCGATGAAGTCACATTGCGTTCAGATGCAATGCGACTTTACCAGTTTCACGTTACATATTCACCCGTTCATGGATTACGTTGTTATAATTTTGTGGGCACTTGGACCAGATGTGAGGTATGCGATTTACCCGAATCGCGCTTCCGCCGCTTTCGTCTGAACAGGGCCAAAGAGCCTGGAGAGAATCCTGTTACATTGAGCCGCCCCAACACGTCCTTGTATATATGTCAGTATTATATACTGACATAAACACAATTTCTTCACTTATTCTTTGTACACACACAAAATCACTAATCCATGATCTCTTCAATACTATTATTTTCTTTCCCCGTATTTACATGCAACTAACACATGCACAATCTGCTAATTAACTAAGTGATGCGGGCTACTTAGCCGTAAGAAAGAAAAAGAAGAAGATATGTTTTTGTAACATATTATGCTAAAGCAGGTTCATAACTATACTAAACAACAGCATTTTGTGTTTATTTTCTTTAGCATTTTGAACCTACTTTCTTCTTTTCGTCCTTGTCCATGAATATTGACACCAACTTCATCCCAAAATCATCCACCCCGTCACAGATCATGTCTGCCCGGGCCTGGTCCAGATTGGTCTTCCCTGCCATACCTGCAAACAACGATAGGGGATGCTTCAGATATGAATAGGACTCCATTTATAGCATAGGGGTCTACGTAAAAACTGCTTCAACTTCTAATCGAAGTGATCTTAGGTAAAACTTTTTAGTATTTCTAACTAGCTGAATTTCTTGTGCAGAAAAGCCATTTCGGCCTACATAATGGCGGATAGGGTGGGTGGCCATGGGTAGCCTTAAAAAGGCTTTAGAGGCGGCTAGAAAAAGTAAATATTGGCCACTTTGCCAGAAAACATATCTCAACTCACTTAGGGTATAGAATTTTCTTCTTACACAACCAGTAGGGTTCTTACCTGCTTACGTTTCTATGTCTATCAGACACCTTCCTCAGAGCTTCTGACTGGAGTTCTGCAACTCGCCGCTATTTATCA